CACCCCCTGTATGACCACACCCCTCTATAATCTTAATCATTAGTCACACCCCCTCTATGACCATACCCTTCTATAATCGTAATAATTAGCCACACCCCCTGTATGACCACACCCCTCTATAATCTTAATCATTAGCCACACCCCCTGTATGACCACACCCCTCTATAATCGTAATAATTAGCCACACCCCCTGTATGACCATACCCCTCTATAATCTTAATCATTAGCCACACCCCCTCTATGACCACACCCTTCTATAATCGTAATAATTACCCACACCCCCTGTATGACCACACCCCTCTATAATCGTAATCATTAGCCACGCCCCCTCTATGACCACACCCCTCTATATAAACATTTTCTCTTTAGCCACGCCCCCTATGGCCACACCCTCTATAAAACATTTCCTCTTTAGCCACGCCCCCTCCAAGACCACACCCTTCTGTAACCACAGTTCATCATTAGCCACACCCCCTCTGTGACCACACCCCTCTATAAAAACATTTCAACTTTAGCCACGCCCCCTCTATGACCACACCCCTCTATATAAACATTTTCTCTTTAGCCACGCCCCCTCTATGACCACTATGAGTTTAAACTCAAAAACATTGTGCTCAATAAAATGAAGCTAAATATCTTTACCTGTGCTCAGTGTGAGTCGTGGACACACATCTTTAACTTATTCAACACTAACATGTAACTGTAGCTCCTCCTCCCTGATGTGACGGAGCTGCACCCAAACAAAATCAAACCCTGAGTGAAACAACACATCTGTCTGCTGCTCTCTGTTCTTTACTAAGTAATGAAGATAAAGAGAGAAGCAGGCCTGAATTCTTCTCCCTGGCAGCAGCAGGAAGCTTTCAGAGCTCCGCAGCACATCACTCAGGGTTTACAGCCTGAATAAAACCTGACTCAGTTTCATATGAAACATGATCAGCTGCTCTACAAACTGGGACCTTCTTTAAACATGTATTTGTTTCTTTAAGTGTCTTACAGCCACTGTTCCTCCTCCAGTTAAGCATGTGCATGAAAAGACCTGCGTCTCGCTTTAGTTTGCACACATTATCAGCAAATAAGTGAAATAAATCCCAACCATGCAACAGTGGCGCTGCAGAGCCGTGCACGCGGCCATAATGGATTCTGTCATTTGAAATGGATGAAGTTCCATTAGAGAGCGGCACGGTCGCAGGGATAAGTGTGATGAAGGGCAAAGCTTCAGCATCTCTCTTTTTTATTTCAGCATCAACAAAGAGGAAGAGGAGTCCGCCGCTCGGGTTCATGCAGCTCAGCCGGTTCTGTCCACAAACACAAAGACATGTGGACCGAGGACGCCTCTTTGTCTACAAATACAAAGAAAACATGAAACTCTTTTACTTTCCTGGTGTCTCTTCATGGTTGTCATGTCTCCATCCTTTACACACACRCACATGTTTGTATTTATATCCTTATTAGGACCATTCATTGACTTCCATTCATTCCCAGCAGTTTCTATAGGCTAACCTGACCATTTACTCTGAAACTGAACTCAAATCACACCTTGGTCCTGAACCAAACCCCAACACAAAAATGGAGTTCCACCATATTAGGACTGGTCTTTGGTCCCCATTAGGACTACTGGTCCTGACAAGGTAGGTGTGTATACTGGAAACAGTCCTAAAAAGGTAACAAAAACAAACACACATTAACA